ATTCCTGGGGGAAAAAAAACTGGCAGGATAAATAAGCAGGCAACTAAACATACAGACAAGCCTGAAGTTAATATGAATAAATAAGCTGATTTTCAACACTTCAGAAGGAAGAGGAAGGCTATAATTATTCATATTTCCAGGCTTATGACAGCTGGTATCTGATCGAGTTAGAAAGAAACCATTCCTTAGGTGAAATGTATATTTAGAAAATAGAAAGCATGGGTGTATCAAATCCCTCTGCTCAGCTTTTCCTGCTCTTCCTAGCCTGTTACGTGGACATATGTACATGTCAGTATGCAGTGCATGTATCAATGAGTCCTTAGGAAGTGCAATTAGAGCTAACGTGGCCACCCAAAAAAAAGACATGATACTCATTTTAAGGAGCTCATGTACAAATGTTAGACATGGGCTAACACCAAATGAAAAGAAAGCTGCACAGAGATTAGTAAAAATAATAAAAGTATTCTGGCTTCTCTGTAGCAAAGGAAGTTTGAGAAATCAGCTGAAGATGAACTGTATTAACAGTTTTGCAGAAGGAAGGGGTCATAAGGAGGAGATGAGAGAACAATGGAGGGACTGATACTGGTAGTAATCCTTTTACTAGTCAGTAACTGTAAATTTCTGGTTCATGTTGTTCTTGTCTGGAAAAGATTTTAATTATTTTTCTTCCACTGTTTTTGTAGTGGTTTAAATGAGATTTCCACCCTGGAAGCAATTGCTGAAAATGGTAAGCAATATGGCCAAGATAAAGCCTAACGTTTTGTCATTTAAGTCTGTGTTTTCACTTGAGCAGGTCGTATTCTAACTCCTGGGTTTTACTATAATACAACTATTTAAAGGTTTTCTTTTCCCCCATCTCTAGCACTCATAAGCTGTCAATTACCATAGTGCTGAAGTACCGAGTGTCTGATGCCAAATTGAGCAAAAGGAATATAGCTCTTTGACCTGAAATGTGAGGCACGGGCCTTTGCTCATGCTCTGAAATTCTTCCAGTTCAGAGCATGAACCCCACACTGTGCAGCCTTGGCCTTGGTTCTCACCTTGCTAGAGGTGTCAGGCTCCTCCAGCAGTTTCAATGCCTTCGTCCCAAGTGAGGGTGTCCAAATGAATAGGAAGTGTTTTTCTAATCTTTGTAAAACAATACTGATGCCTTTCACAGACTTTGATTTTAGAGTAATTTCTTGGGTTTGCAGGTATTAAGGACTACTTAATAAAGCTGAATCTCTCATTATAACACTATTATAAATCTTTTCTCGCCTAGCTTCTGGTTGAAAAAGAAGTGTCATACACCAAGAGAGGCACTGAGAGGTATCTGGATTTTTGCAGATCATTGTAGTGGTAGTTTCAGAGACATTCAGATAGTAGTGCAGTGGGATGTGGTGTGAAGCAGTGTAACGGATTGATAATTAAACAATATCCTTTTTGCCTATGACTGTTTCTGCCCAAAGCTGAGGGTTTAAAATCAGAAGCAGTTTTGAAAATCGGAGAAATACTGTACTACTGAAATCAGTGGTGTGTCCTTTTCTCCATTTCTTCTCTACTCCAAATCACACCAGTGTGGTTTTATACTCAAATAAGCAGCTGGATTTCCATCTCTGAATTGCACAGGAGTTTTTTTGTTTGCTTTTCTTGTTCCCACAGTGTATTAGATAGGAAAAGCCTTAGCTTGGTGTTGGCCTTGGCTGAACATTAACTTTTTTTTTATCAGACCTTTCTTTAATCAGCTGCACAACTCAAGAAAAAGCTTCCCAATCCCTCTCGCAGGCCACGTTGATTTGCAACAGCAAAGTTAGTGGAGGACCTGTGGGATCATGGAGGAGCAGTCTATACAAGCTTTCCAGTTAGTGTCCACTAGATGTTATCAGGAAGAAGATGTGTGGATCAGGGAAGATGTGCCACTTTGTATGGCCAAGTGCTAAATCTGCACTTAGTATTCCCATGTCTGAGCTGTGCTATAGAATTGTGGGAGTGTGGGCTGAATCCTCACATTCTGGTTTATTTGCCAAAGCAGTCACTCATTGCCTTGCTGCATAAAACTGGAAATAATGTCAACAGGAAGTTTTAATTCAAGACAAAGTTGCTGAGCCACAGTTCCTTAAAATTATCACACTGAAGGTCTGTGCAGCAGATGGGAGAGAGTCGGAGGAGAGTCATTCCAAAAGTAGTAGATAAGTATCCCAAACACAGTCTTCCAGGTCATGCAATCTGAGCTCCAGCACGTCTGGGTGTCTAGGTACTATTTGCAGCACTACCAGAGTAATTTGCCAAATATTGCTGTCAGCAGACTCTTCAAGGTCAGAACTGCTTGCAAGGTCATGAGTTATTGGTGTTTGTTACAGAGGGACTGCTGCTGGATCCTACCGGAGTAAGCGACAACAAATGCTATTTGTCGCATACCTGCGATGTGATAAGAGGATTGTTAATCCATAAATATTGCTTGTATCTTTTTCTCAGTATCAACAGTAAACCCATAGAAAAACACTGCAGACCTGGAGCAGACTTCCTAGATGTTCACAAAGCCTCTTGTGTTTGTCACTGCAACTTCTTTCCTTTCCACTACAGTGGGTTTTAAAATCTGATGTAATAAAATGTCAGATAAATCTCTCCTGCTGTTTTACTCAGTACAGATAGGAAGCCCTGTAAGACAGAACAAATGGGCTCAGATTCTGCCCAAGGGAAATGTGCTGTTCTGAAATATCTAGAAGCCAGAGTAAGCAGAGATTTTTAGCACATTATTAAAATGAGGCTCATTACAAAATCCAAACTGGAATTCAGAATCCAAATCTGTTCAAGTTTCAGGGGATTTTCTTTATGCTTCTTTTCAGTATTTCTTCTTTCTTTCTGTTGCATGAGGTAAGAGTTTGACATTACGACTCAGTTTTTACCAGTTTTCCTAAGCAGTTCACTGTTCAGGAGAAGGTTGCATTCTGCCCTGTCAGTCTCACCTGCTGGATCCAGCATACCTCAGAATCAATGGCAAAGCTGCCTGTGACTCCATCTGCATAAGATGAGACTCTTTACTTGCTATTGCATGCATTCTTTTCTATAGTCTGAATCTCAGTGCATTTTTAACAGAAACATAGAATCATAAAATGCCAGGTTGGAAGGGGCCTCAAGGATCATCTGGTCCAAACTTTCTAGGTGATGCTATAGTTTATATGAGATGGCTCAGCACCCTGTCAAGCTGAGACTTAAAACTGTCCAATGGGGGGGAATCTACCACTTCCCTTGGGACACTATTCCAATGTTTGACTGTCCTCATGGTGAAAACATGACCTCTTGGGTCCAATCAGAATCTCCCCAGGAGCAATTTGTGCCCATTCCTCCTTGTCTTTTCCATGTGACTCCTTATAAACAGGGAGTCTCCATCTTCTTTAAGTACCGGAACATGGTAATAAGGTCTCCCCAAAGTCTTCTATTCTCAAGGCTTAACAAGCCCAGTTTTCTCAGCATCTCCTCATATGGCAGGTCCTCCAGTCCTCTGATCACCCTTGTAGCCCTTCTCTGGACCCTCTTCAGCCTGTCCACATCCTTTTTGTAGAGCGAGGACCAAAACTGAACACAATACTCCAGATGTGGTCTGACAACTTCTTTATCTCTGCTGGTGATGCCCTTGTTGATGCAGCCCAACATCCTGTTGGCTTTCTTTGCCGCTGCAGCACACTGTTCACTCCTGTTGAGCCTGTTATCCACCAAGACCCCTAGGTCCCTTTCCACAGGGCTTCTCTCCAGTCAGGTGGATCCCAGTCTGAACTGCACTCTTGGGTTTTGTGTTCCAAGGTGCAAGACCTTACACTTCTCCCCATTGAACTTCAGAAGGTTCCTGCTAGCCCACTCTTCCAGCCTGTCTAGGTCATCCTGATGGGTGGCTCTCCCTTCTGGAGTGTCAGCCTCTCCACTCCTCTTAGTATCGTCAGGAAACTTCATCAGGATGCTCTTGATCCCAACATCCAGGTCACTTATGAAGATGTTAAACAGTGTTGGGCCCCATATCAATCCCTGGGGGACCCCACTAGTGACCAGTTGCCAGTTTCCATAGTTTCTCCAGGAGGGGCTGTGGGGGACAGTATCAAAAGCCTTGTAGAAGTCCAGGTAGACGATGTCCACTGCCCACCCTGCATCAACCGAGCAGTTTACTGTGTCATCCAAGGTGATCAGGTTTGTCAAGAACAATTTGCCCCTGGTAAATCCATGTTGGCTTTTCCCAATCACATGCTTTAATTGACTTGTGACTGTCCCCAGGAGGGACAGTTCATTACCTTTCCAGGGACTGAAGTGAGGCTAATGGGTCTGTAATTACCTGGGTCCTCCTTTGAACCCTTCTTATACATGGGGATGGCATTAGCCTTCCTGCAGTCCTCAGGGACATCTTCTGATTTCCACGACTTCTCACAAGGTTGTGGAGGGTGGCTTTGCAATGACATCAGCCAGCGCTCTCAGCACCCTAGGCTGGATGGGATCCAGACCCATCGGTTTCTATGGGTCAAGCTCCTGTAATAATTGACACACCAGCTCTTCCTTCACTGATGGCAGATCAGCATCTGCATCAACCTGGACTTTTGTACCTATGGCGTGGGACCCAGCAGCACTGATAAAGACAGAGGTGAAGAAGGTGTTGAGGACCTCTGGCTTTTCAACATTGTTGGTGACTAGTTCACCTCTTCTGTTCAGTAGTGGGCCAATATTATTCTTCTGTTTCTGCTGTTAATGTATCTGAAGAACCCTTTCTTGAAGTTTTTGACATCTCTGGCTCAAGCTGAGCTTTTCTTTCCTGACTGCATCTCTGCATACCCTGGCAATATCCTTTTGATTTTTAACAGGTAATGTTCCACATTTCCACCTCTGGTACAGTTCTTTTTTGGTTCTGAGCCGACCCAGAAGCTCACAGTTAAGCCAGGAGAGTCTTTTGCTCCACCTGCTTCCCTTGGCTTTAGAGGGGATGAACCTGTTTTGCTTATCTAGGAGAGTGTTCTTGAAAAACTCCCAGCACTCACTAGCTCCTTTATCCTCCATGGAAGCTTCCCACAGGAACCCTTCCCACTGAGGCCTGAGCAAGCTGAAGTTTGCTCTTCTAAAGTCTAAAACCTTTGTCCTGGAATTAACCATCATGCTCAGCAGTATCCCGAACTCCAGAATGCTGTGGCCACTGCAGCCAAGTCTGTCACTAAGCAAGATACTACACAGCAGGTTTTCTTGGTTAGTGAGTACTAAGTCCAGCTGTGCCCCATTCCTGGTTGGCACATCCAACATTTTTATGAAGAAGTGGTCTTCTACACATTCCAGGAACTTGATGGAACTGCAGGGTTGTTTCTCCAGCAAATGTCTGAGTAGTTAAAGTCTCCCATAAGGACCAGGTCTTGTTGACCTGAAGCTTGCCAGAGCGACCCGAGTATCACTTCATTGGTCACGTTGTCTTGGTTCGGGGGTTGGTAACAGGTGCCTACTATAAGGTCTCCCTTGGAGATGACCCGTCTGATTTTGACCCAGAGGCATTCAATAGAGTGAACACAGTTACCACACTTGAATTCTATACATTCAAGGTTTTCCTTAACATAGAGCACGACTCCTCCACCTCTTCTCCCCTGCCTGTCTTTACAAAACAGCCTATAAGCATCTGTCATGGTTCTCCAGTCCTGTGAATCATCCCACCATGTTTCAGTTATTCCTATGAATCCTTTCTGACTGGGCATGGAGCTCCAGTTCCTCCTGCTTATTTCCCAGACTGTGTGTGATTGTATACATAGACTCTTTTGGTTCTGTCCCAGTCTGACTCAGGTCCGACAACAATGCTCTCGATCCCCCCTCCCCCCAACCCAGGTAGGGAAGGAGAGAGAGAAAAAGAGAGAGACTTGGCTGGATTGAAAACTAAACTACACAGCTTTAATTAAAACACTAATGAATGATACAAGAAAATATATACAATTCTATACAAATATATTCAGGAATGGGCAAAAAGCCTCTCGCCTCCCCCCACCCCAGCAACTCCCACAGCACTTCCCTGAACTGGGAAGAGTCCCGAGGAATCCCGGAGCTGCTGCTGGAGAAAGCAGAGAGTTATGGGGGTCACAAGAGATCAAGCCTGAGGATCGACGGTGATGGATGAACAGAGTCCTCCCTGGACACCGGCCACGGACGGAAGAGAAGGGAAGAAGAAGAAAGGAAGTTGTCTTCTGTGATCTCTGACCTTCCTCTGAGCTTACGTAGATATATGGAATGGAATATCTTTGGCCAATTTTGCTCTCTGTCTAACTCAGCCTCCTACGGGGAGGTCACAGATCTCCCCATAGTGTCTGAGCCGGCAGAGTGCAGGTGCAGCCTTGAAGCCTCAGTAGTTAGAAAAACATTCCACTGTCTTATCAGCCTAGCAGAACACACTGTTGCTAGTTACAAGAAAGCTTACTGAAGGAAAAAAAATCAGTAAAAAGAAAAACTGGCTTCATCCTGGCTCAAACCAGGACAGGTTCTCATTTAGGGAGACAGCTGAGGCACATTTTACACTACTCTGGTTGACCTAGTTCATTCCTCAGTCAGTTGTAGTGGTGATGGAGGAGTGAAAATTGCCGTTTTGGATTCCTTCCGCCAGGTCCTTCAGTTTAAAGCCTGCCTCACCAAGCTGGCCAGCCTGATGCCAGAGTTTCCCTTGCCTCTCTTAGGTGGATTCCTCTCTTTCCTCTCTTTCTCTTCTTTCCCATTTTCTTCCTCTGATCTTGCTCTTTTTGGTTCCTTCTCTTTTGTTCATAGTTTATACTTTTCACATTTCTCCTTCCAGAACATTTCTTCTCAGTTGATTGCTTCCATCCCTTCCACCCCCATGTAAAATCACATTCAGAAACCAAGGTAGATTAGAAATTAATAGTAGCAGTAATGCTGCACTCCCTGGTGAAATTTAAGGGGATGTGTCTTCATGAGTTAGAAAGATTTAATTTTGCCACCAGGGCATAGAAGCCGGCAATTAGCTGATTGGAAGGTGTTGTCCTAAACAGTTTTACATTCATTACTCTACATAGTGTTTCCTTGATCCATGTTATCTAAAACAAAACAAAAAAAGGTTCAGTAGGACTACTCTAAATTCACTCTAGCATCAGTATCACCATCTGGAGTTGCCTCTTGTTCCATTAAAGAAAGAGCCTGGGATGACTAATGTTCCCATATAGGCATGTAATTTAAGTGCTTTAAAATCTGGTGGACAATCTGGACCCTTTTCCTTGGAGAATTTGCAGATACTTCGTAAGCAAGGTCAAGTTTTGATCACAGGCAAAGACCTCTGTCAACTCTGTTGTCATAAGGGTGTTCACAACAGCTTCTCTGAATGGAGAAATTGCCTCTTGAATCTTCCCAAAGGCAAGAGTTATAGATGTTACTGGTAACTATAGTTACACATAACTCCTTAGTGAAGTGAAATGCAAATAACCTGTTATTTTAGAATGGAATTGGTTGATTTAATGAAAGAAAAAACAAAGGTAATATATGCATTTTTCTGTGTATTATTTTTTGTTCTGCAAATTTTAGCTGAGGCTGCTGAGACTTTCCAGTGAGTTGCACGCTGTAGACATAGAATACAAAATCCACATTATGTAGTGCCTTGGACCTCCACATCTGATATAGTTACACTAGTAGCATATAAGCAGTTGTTTTTCTGTCTGTTTCTTATAGTAGATAATTTCAGCATTAGTTTTTTAGAAGGAAAATTTACATAGCTATGATTCTCGACTTACATGAGGAAATCAATTTGGCTAAAACCCTGAAAAAAAAACAACAATGCATGAATTTTACAAAAGCTAAACATTTTAGTCAGCAAGGAGACTATAATTACTGTTAATAGAAGAGATTAAAAAGGATAGTAATACAAGCTTCACTTCCAATACATAAAAATGAAATATAATTTCTCTAAAGTATAGCCTTGAAATCTGAGAAGCCTGTAAGTCTAGGCTTTAAAATATCTGTTCACTAGGCTGGTACATGGATGAGAAGTGGGAAAGCACTGGAAGAGTGAATGTGAGTTTGCTTGCTTATTTCTCTATCAATCCCTATAACAAAACTAATAATGGTCCTTGATTCACAATTATTATGCTCCTTATCATAAGCAGATGTTAGTATTCCTGCTTACAGCTTGAAAAAATGTGTCCGTTTTATTTGTCACAACTCCCTGTCTTTTCAGATCTAAAGGAGGATCTTCTATAGAGGCATCTTTGGACCTCTCTGAAAGATCCTCTCTTCCTTACTTGACATATCCTTCCTTTTTCATCTTCCACTGTATTTCTTCTTTGGCCTCCACTGTAGTCAACAGCATCATTTTCCATATTTGGTTGAGGGTACAGATTCAGACTTTAAAACCACTGAAGCCAAAAGGAATATTGCTGCCAATATTACAGATATCATGCCCCAAACTAAGCACTATATTTTGAGTACAGTTTCTCAGTGACTGGTTCTGTGTATTTGTAATTCACAGAATATTACTACTTGAACTTTATTATTTATTTATTAAGTAGTCACTTGACTAACATTATTTGCAACCTGTTCTGGTGAGTGATTTCTTCTACTCTAGCTTTTCATTTCCCAAAGTTAACCTTTCAGGCATTCTTTCTACAATATTTACTTTTCAGTTTTCAAATCATCCCTTTTTCTGAACTGATGCAACATTTTGTACTGTCTTGCTCTAACTGCATTTTTCAAGGCATTGAACGTGTCTTATCCTTTATACCTATTGACATACAAATGGTATGAACACCCAAATTGCTTACATAAACTAAATGAGCTTAAACATCTAGTTCCTGACTTCTTCAACTACTGTAGAATTTTAGTTTTCTCATCTTGTCGAGTTTGTTAAATTATACATGTTTCTATTTATAGACAAAATAATTGGAAGACTGACCATGGATCTGCAGGAACGAGGGATTCATTTTTCAGCAATTTATACTGCAGTGAGGCCTTCAAGGGTGAGTATTCTTCAGTGCAGAACTGTCAGATTTTTGGCATCTAATAACTTAATGTTTGCAGAGGAGTGATGTAGATTATTTTCAAGATTACACAAGCAAACAATGTATATTGCATGAGATTTCGACCAGAAACGATTGCATGAATTTTCATGTATGATAGCTATATCACATAACTGTTGAAGGTTTACTGTTCAAGGAGACCATAAATCTGCTGTTGCCTTTAGAACTAATTTTTATTTTTAAGGTCTTTAATTAATTATTTTTTTTCCATTTAACTCTATTAGTTTTATAGTAAGTTTAATGTAGAACCTTACTGAACATTCTAGTGTGGCTGGTTGGTAACGACTGGAGTGTTGTGAATTAACTGAATGCTACTAATGTATCCATTTTAAAACTAACTGGTTTCATTCCTTTCAATCAATACTTGCTACTTACAACTGAAAGGTAAAGTTTTCACCTTTCTGACAGTCAGAACATAATTTCTAGATCATTTAGGTAATTTCTAGGTTTATAGGGAGGTAGGATCTTGAACCTCTCGATATCCAACAGGATGATTTGAATAGTCTGTGCAAATTCTAGGAAAAAATCTTGAGTATGCTCAAGAAAAATAAGCACATTCTTCAGTAATCCACCCTGTGAAGTTAATTTCCAGAGACTGGGTTTTGAAGACCAGACTTAGAATACACAGACAGAGTAACATAAGGAAGCAAGCTCACACTGATATTCTCTGTGCTGTGTATTTTTGTGGTAGAGGACACAAGTCCAGGACTTATCATCTGTCTTTTTTTTGCAAATTTTTAAAAACAAAGATCCAAAATTAAAATAATAATTATTTAGTTATTGTGGCACTTTACTGTTTAAAATCAAAGGGACATGGGCATTCTTAGCTGAAAATTGCACTCAGAACAATTGGAATGAAAAATGTTTTTAATTAGTGAAAGAATTGGTATCAAGAGAAGGAAATTTTCAAGTAAGTTTAGAAAGTTTGTTGAATTTTAAATCTATGCATATTTCAACAGGCTTTCTAAATGAATGTGACTTAGTTTGGGCAATTGGAGCACTTCAAAGTAATTAGAACAATGTATTTTAAGTTGTTCTGCATTTTTTTAAAATAAGCCATCTGAATTTATCTCACTTCTGTAAATGTAAATAAACCATTTGAAGCCTACTTCAGCCTCCAATAACTTTGAGTTATTTCAGTGCGTTCAAGGTTATCAGCTTCTGTACAGAACTAGAAAAGACAAAACAGAGAGTACCTTTGAGGGTTCATCAGTCTGTGCATTTGCATGTAGCCTCTTAGTATGTAGTGCATATCTTTGGCTGTGCTTGAGCTGTGAAGATGTGAACTGTCCCATAACCTTAATCTCAATTATTAACTCCCTTTGCTTAAGATATAAAGACTTATGATCTAGAAGTTACAAGGTCACCCCCTAGTCATAACCAAGATCACTATATGTGAGAAGTAAAAGGGTTTGGTCATATAGGAATAGAGTTTGCATTTGTAAATCAATAGCAATCTTTTGGTAGAACAGATTTGCATTTACTACGTTGGCTTTTTCTTATTGATGAAGGAAATGAGCATTAAGCACAACACTTAAATAAACCAACAATGAAAACCTCCCCGCCAAAAAAAAACAAACTAAAACAAACTGAGAAAAACCCCAAGCCCCAAAACAAACAAAAAACCCACCAGGACCAAAAACATGCACCAAAAACCCAAGAAAGGACAGCTCATTCTGATCAGGTCAATTAATTTTATACAATGAAGCTCCCAAAAACTGGGGATATGAGATGTCTCTCCTGATAGCTCTACATTCTTGCTGTTGGGCAGCTAATGGCTTCATAGCATCATCTTGCTACATTCACTCATTCTTCTGTTGCCTCAAGCAGCAAAAAATAAATGTGAGAAGTGCATATATTGGAAAAGACTCCAGGCTGGCATTGGCTTCACAGAAAGTGAATTAATGAGACAGGGAGCAGAACTCCCCTATGACTGAGTCTCTTTTCTGATTAGATGGGAAAGAGCTGTCCCGTTTAGTCAGTGCAGCCACAGATCCCTTTGGGCTGTCACAGTTATCAGTTAGTTGCCCCAGTGCACAATGGAGATTTATTCAGGCTGGTTCTTGTTCAGTTCCAGTTTCACCATTTGAAGCTGGAAGACAGAATTAAGACCTTGAAACTGAGGTGGTTTGGTGACCTACATGAAGTGATTTCACTAACCAGTTGATGATTCCTCTGGATATCCCATCATGTTATTATAAAGGAGCTGCCTTCCTCCAGGGAGCCAACTGCCACATCTTAGGACTCTTGCTCTGAAGTGCTTTGCCTTCAAGGTCTGGCTGTGTTAGGCTGACACTGGGAGAGTGATTTGTATCACCTAATTCTGGTCAAGTGAAGTGTAAAGGTCTACATATGAAGTCATCAACCAGGCTTCTCTCTGCAAAGACTGGTTAAAGTATGATCCTTTTGACCTATTTTGTATAGGGCTGCTGCAGGATGAAGCTCACCCTTCATAATCTTCATGCTTCAAGTCAGTCTTCATGCTTAGGTCAGATCTTGACCTGTACATTTAGTCAGACAACTCTCATTTAACATTTCTCATCATCTTTTCCATTAAAAACCAGAAAGTTATCCCAAGAATTGAGGAGTCTCCTGCCAAGACTTCTTTCCTTTGAAACCCATTTACTAACTTATTTTTATTTCAGGAGAATCAAACCCCTCTGCAGTCCTTGTTCCACTTTGCATCAGGAGTTGTCATTAATGTGCATTTTTGTGTTCTTGGGGACTGTGATAGAAGTCACCCCTCTACTTTTGCTTGCTGCTAATTAGGTTTTTTTATTTGTGATTGAAATGCATATTTTTTACCTGTGCTGTTGTAATTGGAGAGGTTAAAAAGACCACAGTGATTGAAAGATAGAGTCATAAATCTCATGATGTTTCCCATCCTTCAGAACCTCATGATGTCCATGTCACATTTTTACGAGGTTGCTTCTGAAACTTCTGCAAGATGATTTTAGAGCTGTTATCTTTTCCAAGTTAGATTGAATGCTGAGGAAGTACATATTGCCCAAAGGAGATTTAAGGCTACTTCTTAGCTGATACTCATTCAGCTGACTCCACTTTTTACAGTGCTGTTTACACCTTCTCTATTGCCTCCACATATTCAGAGAGCTTCACGTACTATGGGCTTTTGACTGCTTCATTCTACAAGCTGTTTGCTTTAGTTGGTGTTCAAGTGTGTTGAGTCTTTGATCTCCCTCAGGGCCAAGCAGTATGAGTAAAGGAACTTTGTTCAGCCATAAGTAACATAAGGAAAAAGTGGTTGCACATGATTCTTAAAAAGTGTCATTTGAAGGTATCCTCAAGTGCTGTTGATGTGTATCCCAGTTGAAAAGAGTATGGCAAGCTTTTATCTTATTTGACAAGTGCTTCTGGTTGCATTTTCTTAGTTTCTGCTTTCTACCCAATGCATTTCTAAGAATGCATTACATTTTGCAGTGCTGCATCTTCCACTGACATCCAGCTCCACTCTTTTTTGACTCATGCTGAGGAGACAAAACTCAGCGACAGCCACATTGCTGACTTCACAGCTTCTGATTAATGAGCTGCTTTTAACCATTTAATATACTCAAACATACAATGGATGCTTTCCCATGAAAAAAATGTTAGAAAAATGCCATTTTCAGGAGTTGGGATTGTAGAGTTAATATCCTCATACATCCTTGGATATTTGAACTAGCTTTTTCATTGACTCTTGTATTTTTTACATTTGAATTATAGTTTGACATAGTATAATAAAACATGAGTGCTTCCAAGCTGAAAGAAGAAACAGGAATTCTTCATGCTTTAGTCCGCTCCCCATCTAAAGAATTCCATTATAATAAAAATAAACTTTAACTTGCAGATGGAGAATATGCACTGAATTATGTCCTGGCCGTTTTGTTTTTTTTTTTACTTAATAGAGGTAGACTCTTTTAAAATAATTTTAAAAAGAACTACTTAAGGCTGGTTGAAGCCAGTTAGTTGTCATTCTAGAGGAAAATAAATGAACAAACGTTTACCCAAATTAGCTTGGAAGTTGAATGCTAAGGATGTGAGAAATGCTTGTTAGCAACTCTATATGATTCATCCTGTGTGTTAGTGGGGAATTCAGGGAAATAACTGAAAACCAGTGTTTTAACATTACCGCCAGACTTTGCACTAGGACATTAAGATTCATTTACTTTAAACGTTTTTTTTTAACTTTATCTTTTATTTTATGTCTGTGCTTTTTTGACTCCACTGGGAAATGAAGGACTGCATGGAACTAAACCATTATTCTTATCTAATCAGAACAATTTTTAAAAATTTTCATCTGCTAACTTTCTAAGGCACAGATGAAACCTATACAGGAGTTACAGATAAACCAAATTAGAAAGTAGTATTTATTTTGCATTTAGAACTAAGGACTGGGAAAACTTGAGAGAGGGAGGAATGGTAGAGAAGGACACAGGTGAGAATGAGGTCTTAGAAAAAAAAAGGTAAATCGGTAAAATGCAGGTTTAAAAATTGCAGCGAATACTCTTAAAAATACAGTCATACATAGGTAGAGATCACAGACAAAAGAATTCAGATTCAATTATTAAGGTATAAGGCTAAAATAGGATAGAATACATGGAATGTCATGGAGTTATAGAGGGTCATAGAGTTGTTAGGGCTGGAAGGGACCTCTGAAGATCAGTTAAACCAACCTAGATCACCTATAGTAGAATAGAGTCATGGAATTGAATGTGTAACTAAACAAGAGTATTGATATGTCATGTTGGTAGGCATACTTAACACTTTTTGTAAGGAAAAAGCCTAGGTGAAACATTTATTAGAGTGACAGAATAGATCTGTAAAGGACTGCTCTGATGGGGGGGGAGGGGGTTGAACTACATCATCTTTTGAGGTCCCTTCCAACCCCTAAGGTCTTGTGATTCTGTGACTGCTGTTGTATCTTGAAGACAGTTTGAATTCAA